GCGCGCTGTCAGTTTAGAGAAGCAGCCGGGAGCACCGGCACAAAAGCTTAGTGATATACTGCTGTGGACATAGCCAACCGCAAAAAACGTGTTTTAGTCACTTTAAAAAAATACCCATAGAAAAAAAAAGCCAATACCAGTTGAAGAAAACAGTTGAGAAAATGTGGTTCAAAGTGGTGAAAATATTTTTTAAAAATTGTTTGCACTTTAACTAATATTGGCTTTTTCAGTGGGGATTTTTCTTAAAAGTGGCTAAAACACGTTTTTTGTGGCTGGCTCCGTCCACATCACTCAGCTTCTGTGCCAGTACTCCCGCCTGCTTCTCCAAACTGGCCACGTGCCAATCAATAATACACTGACTAGACTAGATAACTACCTCTAGATAAGTACCTCATACAACCCCACGTCAATTAACCTGAATCACTTTAACATGTTATATCTTGCGTATTAATGTGTACAAAAACCAAAGTGTAAAAAAGTCATATTTTGAGGATTATGTGCCAGACTATATCTTGGCCAGTCACAGCATCTTCTTGGAATTAGCGAGAGGAAGACTAACATTAACCTTGTTTCCAGCCTTAATGTTAAAACCAGCTAAGATGGCTCTTGCTACATAGTAAGCATATGGACACGATCATAGTATTGATCCTCTTCGCTAACTCTTGGTAAGAAAACAAGAAAGTGTACATTTTTACACCTTGGTTTTTGTATGCATTAAACAAACATAGTATGACATGTTAATCAATGAGTTTTAGAGCTGTTAGCAGGCAGATTTTGTTGCCTTTGGCGAAAGCCAGGTCAGATTGATCTTGAGAGTGGTATCAATATGCTCAGCTAACTCTCGACAAGAAGACAAATGTGTATCTCCCAAAATGTCAATCTATGCCTGTAAATCATTGATTTACTATGTTCCTTCTCACAGATTGTGGTTCATCTAATGGCAGCAGTTTTTACCCTTTTAAAGAGTCTTAGCTTATGCTGTACTTCAAGTAAAATAAGATAATGCTTGTGCGTTTGTATGTCCACCTTAGCCTGAGGAGATGCAGTGGTCAGGTGGTGACCGAAAAATCCCAGAGTCAGTGTGCAGTTTCCCCTGCGAGTCTGGTGAGAGGAAGAAGATGGTGAAGGGAGTTCCCTGCTGCTGGCACTGTGAGCTCTGTGACGGCTACCAGTATCTTCTGGACGAGTTCAGCTGTGACATGTGCCCCTTTGACATGAGGCCCTTAAAGAACCGCACGGGCTGCCGACCCACGCCCATCATCAAGTTAGAGTGGAGCTCTCCATGGGCCATCATCCCCGTCTTCCTGGCCATCCTTGGGATCCTGGCCACCACCGGAGTCATCGCCACCTTCATCCGCTTCAACGACACCCCCATTGTCCGGGCCTCCGGCAGAGAGCTCAGCTACGTGCTGCTGACAGGCATCTTTCTTATCTACCTCATCACCTTCCTCATGATAGCTGAGCCCAGTGTGGCTGTCTGCGCCTTCCGCAGGTTACTGCTGGGGCTCGGTATGTGCATCAGCTATTCTGCCATGCTCACCAAGACCAACCGAATCTACCGCATCTTCGAACAGGGCAAGAAGTCGGTCACGCCCCCAAAATTCATCAGTCCTACCTCTCAGCTGATTATCACCTTTATACTCATCTCAGTGCAGGTAAGTGTGCATATCTGTCCATCACATAGATCGTCACCTAGATCCTTTGTAGCACTGTAACCCTGCTTTCTCCGCAGTTACTCGGGGTGTTCATCTGGTTTGGTGTGATGCCCCCTCACACCATCATCGACTACGAGGAGCAGAAGCCTCCAAACCCAGAGTTTGCTCGTGGAGTCCTCAAGTGTGACATGTCCGACCTGTCCCTCATCTTATGCCTGAGCTACAGTATTGTTCTGATGATCACCTGCACGGTTTATGCCATCAAGAGCAGAGGAGTTCCTGAGACCTTCAATGAGGCGAAGCCCATTGGCTTCACCATGTACACGACCTGCATCATCTGGCTGGCCTTCGTACCCATCTTCTTTGGCACAGCGCAGTCGACTGAGAAGGTGGGGAATTTTACCTTTTCACAGGCTTCACTGGTTCTGCTACTGGGATCGTCTTTCAGAGTCTTTAAAACGACTCTGAGTGACAATCTCAGGTTAACTTACTTGATTGTTCAGACCTGGACCTGAAAGAGCTCAAAATAATGGGAGGTTCAAACACCTACACTTCCATGAAAACTGGGCAAACTCTTTCTGCTGATGAAGGCCATGTGACAATCACGCTGGACCCTGAGTTGACATTGTTTTGTGCTGGGCTGCAACTAACGATTATTATCATTCTTGATTAATCTGCCAATTATTGTCTCAATAATCTTTTTGTTCAGTCTGTAAAATGTTGACCACTGTCTCTCACAATTGCCTTAAGTTCAAGTGACGTCCTCATGTTGCTTATTCTGTCACTGCAGCAGACTCAGATATTCAGTTTACTCTACATTAGAAAAATCAAACAGATTATTTAAATATGAAAAAAATATGCAGATTAATTTTCTGTCAATTACTAAATTGGTTTTATCATGGTATTAACTAATATTAAAACTGGCCACTAAAAAGAGGGATACATAAAAACATATTTATCAACTAATTTAATTTGAAGACGAAAAAAAAAACTTATGGAACAAATGTGTCCAATAATAAATAAATCAAAAATATATTGAATATGTTGAGGCACTTGACAGTGCTGTTTTTAAAAGAGAAATAATGAGTTGAATTCACAAGTAAAATAATTGTTCAGTTTTTGAAACACTGGACATTTTGGTTTATCCTCTGTGTACTGTATGAGTGACTCTGGAGTTGTGTTGTTCAAACCTTACCTTACTCCTTACCTACATTACTGCTATGGGATATAACATGTATGTTAGTAATTAAATTTTGCATTCAATAATGATTTAATGTGATTAAATCCGTGTGTTTGTAGAGGTGTTTGTCACAACATTCATTTTGTTTTAAATGAGATGAATCAAATTATGCAATACAGAATCAGATACACTAATAGTAAGAGAGTAAATGAATCCCTCAGTTTGAGTTTGTTACCTGTCATATCATATTTGCTTCCTGCTGTACTCAGGACATCCTGCCTCCACTGTAGTTGGACTTTAATTTAGCTTGTGGGCTATTTTTTCTGCCATCACAAAGTACGAGACTGTTGGGGCGAATATTTAAGAAATAGAGATACGCTTTGACTAATAGAGAGCCGTATTATGAATCAGCCAGGCTGAAACAATTAAAGCCCGAGGTACTTTCAAAGTCTTTTCACCTCCTCCGAATGGAAAAGAAGTGAATTAAGAAAAGGGAGCGAAGAAAAAGAAAGGAGGTCAGATGAGCCGAGGGACAGTAAGGACCCCTCGTAGACCAATTCAGCCATCCCATTCAATTAATCATCACTTAGAAAAAGAGCTAAATATAGACTCTAACTTTTGTCTGGCTCACGAAAATAGTGGCTTGTATCTTCCCATCCTCCCATCATGTGTAGGACCACGTGTAGGAGGAGGTGATTTACCTGCTCCGCGTCTGTATTTACATATGGGGGAACCATTGACTTGATACCAAGCCAGTTTCTCTGCTCGCCTCGGGCCAAGCACATAAATACAATCCACTTAACTTCTAAGTCACCACAGCTCCTTATAGAAAATGGAGACGTCTCTGAGAGGGACCGATAAAAAGCAAGATGATAAAAGGAATTGTTTTATATGGACACCAGCCTGGGAGATGGCAGGATGTGCTGCTGCTGTGGATAGTGTACAATTTATGACTTATTCATGGCACAAATATATCTTATTTATGGCACGTATGGCTTGACTTATTTATGACCTGTACAGTTTGCTTGAATAATGAGTTCATAATTTATTGTGAGGCAGATCTCAGAAGAAGTCACTTCTCATTATTACTGTTGGATTTGCAATAGTAGGAAGAGCAGTGAAGAGTAGACGTGGTCAAAGCCCATAAATAGATCCTCCTTTCCTGACTACATATACCAGGTCATAAATCATTCATCAGGGGAAAAACACTGCCTCCTGTGCTTTGAGATGAAAACCGTAAAGACTGCGTTGTGACAACCTATGAGATTAAATATAGTGCATTTTATTTAACCTGTGCATGGCGATAAAATCAATTAACTGCACACTGATGGATGGAAATTTGCTGAAATGAATCAATAGTCCAGTAGTAAAAACCACAGCCGTGTGTAAAGCAATTCCTCTGACCTGCCGTGTCTCTGTTGCAGATGTTCATCCAGACCACCACCCTGACAGTGTCCATGAGCCTGAGCGCCACCGTGTCCCTGGGCATGCTCTACATCCCCAAAGTGTACGTCATCATCTTCCACCCGGAGCAGAACGTCCAGAAGAGAAAGCGCAGCTTCAAAGCCGTGGTGCAGGCAGCCACTGTGACCACGCAACTGTCCCAGAAGTCCAGCGACAAGCAGAATGGAGAGTCCAAGATCGAGCCGGACAGATCACAGTGAAACGACACAAAACGCGTCCATGTTTCATCACATCACGTTGACAAGCTCACAATGATCTGGTTGATGATGAGTGAAAAATCTGCGTTTACTCTTGTTGTTGGCTGGATTTGTTTTTCTTCTTCTCCCCCTTCACTATGGATTTGAACACCAGCAAAGACGTTCCTGGTTTCTTTTCACACTTATTTAGATTTCTCAGAACTGCTAAACCTGGAATGAAGCACAGAAATGCTCACCCTTAAAATGAACAACTTTTTAGTACACTTAAACAAGGAGTGGAAGGATGCTGAGCCATCCTGAATGGAATGCAAGTAATTTTTTTTTTGTTTTTTGTAACAACCACCACATATACACCTCAGACTGACGAAGAGGCATTGTTAGTTTTAACTCTCCCTGGGAAATGCTGTTTAGGAAAAAATAAGTTAAGCTTAAATGGCGACCTTTGCCCTACAGGAAGATGTACATGTATGTGGAATCCCTCGGGATCGATGAAACGTTGTTGTTTACTGGCTCCAAAAGCACTGCATGGATTGTGTGTTTTATGTGTACATGAATGTTTTGAAATATTGTTTGTATGGGGTATCGTGACTTTTGCCTCCGATTGCACTGAAGGGAAGTAGCTTTTAAAATGCACCACCACCATGTCCTGTTACTATTTCTGATAAACTCTTCTGGGAATGTAGAATTGATCACTTAACTGTAAGCACTCGCAGCAGAATCATTCAATATCCACTCTCTAATACAACAAAGCTTTTTTATTTAAATTAGTGTTATGAATACAATCATTATGGTACAAACTGATTTTCACTGTGGAAACTGGAAATTCACAGGTAAAAACAGGATACAAGTGATTGTGAACAGGCAATTAATTTTTTTCTGGTACTTATATTTTTCCACAGTGGAAAACAATGTTTGGCATTTCCCCATATTGTTTGTCAAACTATCAAGCAAGTGTGCTTGAAGGCCAGTTTGTATGGCAGCAAGCCAAAAGTCACAGACGAGCCGCTGTTACGTTCATGCATGGGAACCTCGTCAGAAAGTTTCACTGCATCAGTTGTATTTGATCTTGTGCTATGAAAGCTTCTCTATCACAACAAATTCTCATTTCTGCAAACATTATCTGATATTTAGCCTGAGGTAACTCCCAAAATTAACAAGTGCAGTGTACTTTTTGTTACTTGATCACAATGTACAACTCAGGTTTTACTGAAGGTGTTTTGACCAATGTCTTTCTTGAGGATTACCTTCTGTACTGGCGCAGCCTTTTAAAGTACAAATGGATTCAGCGGTCACCACGTGCAGTGCATCTCCCTTCACAGTGCAGGATGGCTGTGAGATTCATGTCCTCATGTGAGAAAAGAGTTTGCACTGCCCTCTGCAGGAGAGCACACCTCAGTGAAATGTTTGTGAATAAAAGCACAGTCAAGAGGGAATTGTTTGTAGACCCCACACAAACCTTAATAAAAGAAAATATTGTTTATTATTTGAGTTGGTTTTACATCTGGCAGGACCATTAAAACTAAAAATATCTACATCTTATCTACATGTTGGTGTTCATGAAGACCGGTTTTAAATATGTGTGAAAAATAACTGACTATTTTTCCAAGAATAGAAAATAAATGCGTCTGTGACAATGAAGGACATAATACAGAGCAGTGTCATTTGAAGGGTCTGCAAATAAGTCGATAAGACACCCACATAAAAACTATAAGAAAATACTCCAAAGCAAATGCTGGGTGAGACACAGTCTCCACATACAAATTCACAACACACACACACACACACACACACACACACACACACACACAAACAAACAAACAAACACACACAATGTTAAAATGTGCAGCAGGTTTGAGGATGTCACCAAAGCTCCAACTGCCAAGCTCAGCATCAGCTGTCAGGTGTTTGGTCAGTTACTGCTTCTAAATGAAGTTATATCAAAAAGTCCTGTTTGGTGCCGAGTGGCAGAACCGCTGCCAGGCTGGTTCTCTGTGCCGCAGTAGCACCAACATGTCACGTCACATGCAGCATCCTGACCTCTGACTCCTCTTCCGGGGGCAGGAGAGGTTGAACTTCACTCGAGGAAGCTGTCCAGAGTGAGGCGAGTTGCAATCTTGGGTGGAGGTCTGGTTACCTTCTTCCTTTTTGCTTTCATCAGTGGGCGAATCTCCGATAAAGGAGACTGGAGTGCTTGGTTATGGAATGATGCAGTCAAGTTTACACTGATGTTATTTTCACTTCTGTCCTTCACTGTTTCCATTACTATCCTCTGGGACCTAAAAATGTCTAAAACTAATATCCAAATGCATTTTTGTTTAAAGCTACATTATTTTTGTGACAAGTTTTGTGAAGTTCACAAAGTTAAAAATATTGACATATCAATTTATAGAGTTGTTATGGGACAGAGCAACATAAACATTCATTTTAAACTATGTTTCTTGCTACCTGACAAACGTACTCTAAATCCACTATTCATTTATCTTTAAACCCCATTTTGACCTTCACCAACTCCAGAGAGAATATTTAACTTTAGCTGCTAAATTTACCACCAGGTTCACCAGCTATTTGCTACCTGTGGCTGTTCTTCTAAAGCTTCTAAAAATGAGATAAGATAAGAGCACAGTTGAGAGCCAAAAACCAAAACAATACAGTAAAAGATGCTCATTCTTAGTGCAGCTTTAAATTGTGCTGAATGATAGGTTCGAACGTCCTCAGGCTTATGTACAATGCTGTTTCAGTCCACCATAAAGACACTTTTTAATATTCTACTAAAAGTATGTCCTAACTTAGTACAGATGGGTATTAAACACTACCCCATTAAAAAACTATTATCAAAGATAAAAGTACTTCAAATAAAGAAACATAAATATTCCACATCGCAGACAAAAGGATACAGGTTGGAAGAATTTAGTCCGTCCTCCTAATCCATCATAACCAGTTCTCACCTGAAACGAGTAACATTTTCTTTCATCACACCACTGAAGGACAACTGGTATAATAAAACCTGCAGCAGATGCTTGTGCAGTACATACAGCTCCAGGCTTCCTCTGAGGGTCCAACATGCTACCAAAAGTCTTCTTTCTGAAGAGAAGGGAGTTCCTCATAAATGGATCCATGGATCCATCCTCATCTTGAGCCTGAGGTATAAAAAAATATATATATTTAATGATACACACACCAGATTTAGAAATTGACCATTAGTGACTTTCAAAACCCTACCTTGGATAAAGATGAACTCTTCACATTGTGTTTGGACATGGACATTCTGAAAAATAAAGCATTTTACATACAAATGTACTATACAACCCCACAATATAAAAGACACACTATGTTATTAACAAGTGCCTCACATGTCACCAACCTAAGCTTCTCACACACGAATGACATAAAACTTACGCCGGAGGGTCAACACGCATCTTCTTGGATGGGACCTGGGTCGGTCTCTTGGCCACATCATCCGGTGTAGTGATGTCATAGGTCATATTTAGGTCAATGTCCTGGCTATCTGCAGGCTGGTGGAGGCGAGGCTGCTTCAGCTCCAATGGGGCTGGGCTGACAAGTGAGAAGATAAACGTCATCAGTAAATCGCACGGCTTATGTTTTCATGAAAATCTATTGCGTGAGGAGATTTCAGTCCAATGGCTCGGTGAAACACACCTTTCGAACACGAGCCGACTGAGGGTTTCGTTTGTCCGTGTCGGCGTGCTCAGAGTCTTCTGAAGGAACTCCACTTTCTTCTTCAGACTCTGTTGAAAGATGTGCATGTAGGCATTATAACAAATGATTTCTATTATCATAAAATATGAAGGAAATTCGGTGGAACGTGCTTACAGAGATTTCTTTGTCAGCATTGGCCAGATCATTCTGCAGAGACTTCATGTCCTCTTTGGTCTGATTCACCTCCACTGAGGCTTTTTGTAACTGCAAATGACACACACACGACACACAAAAACTTTAGAAATCTAGAGTTTTCTTATTTATTACTCATTCCACTGGATGCAGATTAGTCACTACCTTGTTGTTTGAGGAGAGCACTTCTCTCTTCAGCTTCTCACACATGTCATTCGTAGACTTCAGGCTACCTTTTAGATTATCATACTCTCTGAAAGAAGGAGGGGAGAAGATGAATGTAGAGTCATTGATGACAGGGAAACTGCATTCATTAGGACTGAAGCTCGAAATGATGGAGTGAGAAAATGAGCTGTCGTTTCGTCACGCCATCAACAGAAATTGGGCTCCTTACTTTTTGAGAGAAATGCAGTAAATGGAGAGCTGCTCCACTGCCGCCTGACTGACACCCATATCTGTGATCATGGACTCCACCTCTGCTCTCTGACCCTGTAACAACACGTCCAGGCTGGGGACAAACCAGCAGTGTCAGTACACAGTATGAGTATGACTTTCTCTTACAATGAAAGAAGACACAGTACTATGCAGATCTTGCTAGCTGAGAGAAATTACAAATTCTGTCCTTGCTTGTGTATCCAAATTACTAATAGCGATTTTTTTTCCAAACCACTCCCCACTCCAAATTCAACTTAAATTAAGCTCGTAGGCATATCCAAAAATACTATCATACTTTACAATAGAGGTATTTAAGACCATCTAAAACATTTTTGACACTTGCAGCATAGTCAATGTTGTGATTATTAAAATGTGGCCCTAGAGACCTAAATATATTTATGTGACTGCAGATACCTTTCAAAAGTTTTCATTTTGATCCTGAGTCTCCGGGCCTCCTCCTTGGCAGCATGAACATCATTCTGTTGTGTCTCCAAGTATGTCATCTGTTTCTGTGAGGATCAAAGACTTTAAAAATAAATAATTACAAAGACAGTATGAGTCTTTATAGACAATGGGTTTATGCAATGAAGGACAGTCAGCATACCCTGAGAGCAGAGCAGAGCATCTCCTTTTCCATAATCTCTTTCCGCACGCTGTCCAGGTCTCTCTTTTGCTTGTCGACAGTCTCCCTCAAACTGTCCACCACTTTCTGTTTGTCCCGCCAGTCTCGCTCTACAAATTGAGCAGGTGGATATTTAACTAATGCTGCCTAATTTCAACAATCAAGCACCATCATAGTTCAACATAGTTTCTTACCTTTGGAGCTTAAAAGCACCTTCATTCGATCAAGCTCATTCTAGGGAAGTGAGAAACACAGCCAGAGAAAAAACACTATGACACCAAGTCCAGATGATGTAATGGCAAGAAGGACTATCTTTGTCTTGGGCACTTTTTCTTAAACAATTTTGCACTAAAAAGCTGAAAACAGACAGTGATATATTGTGTAGCTGTTGTAAGTTTGGTACCTGCAAGCTTTCCGGGTCCGCTGTGGCCTCCTCCTCCTCTCCACCAATGTCAAAGTACAGCTTGCAGATAATGTGTCTGGTGCTGACCTACACACAGAGCACAACAGTACTTAGGTCCATGTCTTTCCACTACATGACAAGTAGGTTCAGTCTGGGCTAGAGGAAGTTTGGTGATGTTTGGAAAAGTAAGTTACTGTACCTGTTTCCTACACTGTGGACAGGTTTTTGTGGGGGCCGTCTGAAACCACTGGAGAAGACTGAGAGCAGAGAAGGGGAATGATTATAAAACGTGTCAGAAATATGAGTGTTTATGAAGTCTTGACTTTCTATATTAGGTTACCATTCATAGTGGAAAGTGTGTCCGCAGTGGATGGCAGCAACATCTTTCGAGTGATCGAAGAAATCGGAGCAAATTGTACAGTATGCACGGATAGGCATCTTGATGTCCCAAGGATCACCTGTAACGAATACAGAAACTCGTATTAAATAAACTACCTACTTACCGCATAAACACTGTTCTACGCTATCTAACCATACATGTGTTTGTAACGTTACATAAACGTGCTTGGCTACAGCGGTAAAACGGTAAATAACACGTTAGTGGCCCGTAACATTCAGCTATGCTGGTTAGCTAAATGTAATGCTAACATTAGCCTTATCACCAGTTGCCATACCTGGACCTCTACTCTGGTCATACTTACCAAACGAAGACGTTAAGTTACTGCGCAGTCCTTTGTCATAAAGTGAAACATCCCTGATATCTGTAATATTTCATTTTGACCTAGTTAATGTGATATTCTGGGAAATAACCTCGCTAGCTAACATAAACTCGCTAACTTGTTTCCCGGCTGTATGTTCAAACACAAGCCCCGCCCCTGACGCTGCGTTCAAGTGCAGCCACGATACCGCTTGACAGGTTTGTAATTATAAACACTTCCTTGTATTTAAAAATTACACTTTAAGGGATTTTGATGGTACATGTTTTTCAAAAGGGAAACAAAGACTTTTAATTAAAACTAATCACTGTGGACCAGAGTTATCTATCCTCTTAACCTCTTTTATTAAGTGTGCCCTACCTTCAGCCTTGTTAAGATGCTCTCCCTTTGCTGCTCCCTTAAGGTGTCCTCACTCTGCCCACTTCTGGGTGCACTGCTTAAAGGTGTCATCCTTTAAACACTCTAAAGCTGTTTTCTGGAAGAGAACTTCATATCCCAGTTCCTACTTCCGCAGCCGAACAGGGCATAATGCTGCGTTCACTACGATGGTAAACTCAGAAAACTTCTGAGTGGGAACGTCCGAGTTCGGAAACCTGGCGTTCACATGACCAACTCGGTCAACAATAGATGCCCGCAATAACAATAACCAATCATGTTAATATCATGAAGCTCGAGTAGACTAGTGGGCTAATATCAATTATTACAACGGCCTTTGCAAAAACTTAACTTCGATAATTTGTTAAGAATGTAGATATATCACATACTATAGTAAATGACTTGTTAAGTGTAATTAATTAGCATTTGTAACTGTCGCACCAGTCAGTTGTAGTTCTTATCACCTCAAGTCAGATAAATTGGGGACCTGAATTTCTGAACGAGCATCCGAGAAAAAAATCAATCCTGTTCTTGAGTTCAAATACCGGTATTTTTTTTCCTAGTCGGAGCCTGTATTTTCCAACTTCCCGACGTGTCTTGAATGCAGCATTATGTTGACTAGCAAGAAGAAGTACTCCTGTCTTGTCTCTGCTAGTTAGCTAGCTGCAGTAACTGTGACAATCGAGTTGTGGAGCACAATGAGACAACTCCAGAAATGAAAGGTAATCATCTTGAAATAATTTAAGGAGAGCTCTGTGTCAGGATAAAGGCGGTTAATGCAGACATAACTAGCTTCAGATGCTGTTGATTGTCTGCTAAAGTTAGCAATGAAAGTAGCCTTTGAAGTTCTGCATAGATGTCAGACGTGTCTCTGAGACTGGGGGGTGTGGAAAAAGAAAAGAGATACGATTTTATTTTTTAAAAATGGAGGAGATAGGCATGGAAAAGAAATGTAACACTCTCAGGAGGCTCTTATTTTGTTTTCTGATTTAGTTTCACAACAGCCACTGCATGTAGCAACAAGACTGAGACGGCATTAGCCCTGAAGCTTGTCTGAAAATAAAAGGGGTTAAAGTTAGACCATAAAATCTGAATAATGGTGGTCATGCCACAGTAATAGTACATCACAACCAGCGTGATCTTTAATCATAGCGTCAGTCATGAAGCTGTTAACCTTTGGCCCCATAGCTCTCTGTCTGTATGTCTGTCCTCTCAGGTGTGTGTCCCTGCCCTCAGTAGCAGTGATGGACGGAGAAGCCCAAAGGGCGGCTGTGTCATGGGAGAATGGCACTCTGGCTCCTGTGGACCGCCTTCGCTCCGAAAGGGCAGACAGCCCCACACCAGGTCTGGTGGAAGGAACTGAACCAGGTGAGGCTGGTCCACACTCAGCACTATCTGCAGATAGTCAGTGTAACTTTCCAAAGCACAAATGTACTAAAATTGTGTTGTATGTGAGCTCTCACTTCCAGGCAGATTCCCCCTATAGTTCTGGTACCAAGTAAATCCCAGTAATTAACAGCTAACAATGGGATTTTTACCAGCATTTGTTCCTTCTCATATTTCAAAGACTGTAGGTGTGTGTGGACATTCACGGCTTTAGATAAGTGGGTGAATGAATTAATGTAATTTAATTTAAGTGTCATTCTATTTTGTGGCCCATCCCTCATGGGACTAAATTTAAAAAAAACATCAAACATGCTTACAGTACACAGGGATAACGTTTACAGTACACGAGTCAAACGTTGTCCATGTGAACTGATCATGCATCAGTCCATGGATAAGAGCCACTGTCACGAATCCGTGTCATTGATACAGAACTGAACTTTCGGTTACTTCCTCATTTTGGATCTGATGGCACTACACAGCAAAATGTAGGTTCTAAGATTGCAGCTTGGATCAACCATTTAAAAAAAAAAAATAGAAACAAAAAATCTTTGCAGTGGCCAATGCCTGAAATAATATAGATTTTCAATGGATTCATAATTGTACCATGACAAGAGCATGCTTAAAGCACCAGAGTAACACTATTCTGTAACTTCCCTCATAGGTGAAAAGTGTTCCACAAGTAGACATCCTGTGGTCCAGTAGTTGCTAGGCAACACATGGGTACAATAACCAGAATGACTTGTTTTTATTTTGTGAAGAAACTGTTTTTGAATTAAGAAGTTCTCCATTTTGTGTGTGTGTGTGTGTGTGAGAGAGTGAGAGAGCGCGTGAGAGATGGTATGAATACACACATCCTGTCTGTCTAAAGAGGTGTTCACAATAATTTAATCACAATAATGTGCCTTCTGTATTCTCCATGTCACTCAAACAGCCATTTTGTTGTTGCTGTCAAACTTGGATTTTATGAATTGACAGGGAACACTCATTTAATAGACTAGACTGTAATAATAGTATTTTCTAAGTTTATGTGATTAAAAACTTAACACATTAGGAATATCTTGCCACACCAAACAGCATAGGAAGGAAACGCTGCCATATTCTCTCACATGAACTGTAATAATACAGACATCTGCTGCACGCCTGCAGCAGCTTATATCTGTCTCATCCAGCTTTAACAAATCCAACTCTGACTGGAGAAATGATGTAACTTTGTCCGGATTTGCTCTTTCCAGTCCAGAGATAAACAGGATGTTTTTGCAGTGTTATCTGACTGACTCATTACCACACTTGTGCTATTCTTCTTCTACTTTCTCTCTTTTAAATTAAATAAGCTATGACCAGAGGTTGTTAATTTGTGACTGCTCTGAATGGAATGAATAGAATAGAATTACCAGACCAAATCAAACATTTTTTTGGTTTTAAAGTATAAAATCATATCTTGCACGACGAGACTTGGCATAATACAAGAATCCAAATCATCTTCCATCTTTTTCAGCCAGCTTTTTTGGCTGACAGTCGCTCAGTTCCAGACTGTGTCACCCACTGCATGGAAGACAGTCCTGGATGGTTCCCACTGAAAAGCTCAGGGAAGTGTATGAGTGGTGATCTCAGTGGAGGCGGGGTGATTTACCAGATGTGCATTTGCCAAACCAACCAGATTGTGTTCACACAAGTCTTTTCTCTTGTGAAAGGAAAAATATTGTTTACAAAGTTTACATTTGTGTTGCTTGTTGAAGTTTGTTGTTGATGAGTGTGAAGAAGACATCGCACTTAAAAACAGACTCGTTTTCATGCACTATTTTTTACTTTTACGAGCTTCCCTGAGCTTTTGTTTGACACTGTCTCCCGTGCAGTGGATGAGACAGTCCTGAGTGTTGCTATGCCAACAGATTCAAAACCAAAAAAAACAAACAACAAAAAAAACTGCCTCCAACAGGTTGTTATTGTTTTATGAACTTACTTATTCATTCCTTACACATCCATGCATCATACTGACAAACCATCTGACCATCATTAATGCAGGTGCCGGTCAGAAGAGTGCCATGTTCGTCCATGCGCAGTCTTTTGAGGATCTGACTGCAGAGACTGAAGAAGTGGCTCAGAGGGACGCTGAACTGGACAAGTCAGAAGGAGAGTGTACAGACGAGCTCAAGGTTCTGGTGGGCGAGAAAACCATAGAGGAGCAACGCAACAGCATTTCATCGGAGACCAGGTCTAAGGAGGAGGATGTGTCCAGCGAGGCGTGGAGGAGCCACAGAAAACATGTGTTTGTGCTGAGCGAGGCTGGAAAGCCCATCTACACCCGCTATGGCACAGAGGAGGCTCTGTCCAGCACCATGGGGGTGATGATGGCCCTCGTGTCCTTCGTAGAGGCCGAGAAGAACATCATCCGCTCCATCCATGCAGGTCAGAATATACTTTGAATCTGACATTGGTTTCCTAAGTAAAAATATATGGGTCAAAAGTGCATTTAATGAAATCTGTTGAATCCATGTAACCTCTGTGAACATGTTTTGCATCAGATGGCTGTAAAGTGGTTTTCCTCACTAAGAGCCCTCTGGTCCTGGTGGGCGTGTCTCGGACCTGTCAGTCAGACAAGGAGCTGCTGCGGGAGCTGCAGTACATCTACTATCAGATCGTCAGCTTGCTCACGCTCACTCAGCTCAACCACATCTTCCAACACAAGCAGAACTACGACCTGCGCCGCCTTCTGGCCGGCTCCGAGTATCTCACCGACAACCTGCTGCATCGGCTGGACCGAGACCCAGGCCTGCTCCTCAGCGCTGTCACCTGCCTGCCTCTGGCCAGCTCCTCCAGGGATGTGGTCTCATCAAGCCTGCAGGCCGCTAAAGCCAAAAACCTGGTGTTCTCCATCCTGCTGGCGGGGGACCGGCTTGTTACCCTGGTGAGAAAAAAGGACCAGTTCCTGCACCACATAGACTTGCACCTAGTCTTCAACCTCGTCGGCTCCTCTTCGTCCTTCCGAGAGGGTGAAGGCTGGACGCCGATCTGCCTGCCAAAGTTTAACACTGCGGGATTTTTCCACGCTCACATTTCTTACCTGGAGCCTGCGTCCGAGCTCTGCCTCATCCTGGTCTCAACAGACAGAGAGGACTTTTTTAACATGTCCGACTGCAAGCAACGGTTCCTGGAGAGGCTGAGTAAGCGCAGTGCCTACCAGGCTCTGAAAGAGGCGCTTAAATGTCCCAGTTACTCTGTGGCGCAGGTCGGCATCCCAGAGCTCAGGCACTTCCTGTACAAATCAAAGAGCTCGGGGTTGTACACCAGGTGAGTGGGATGTCTGCTGAAAGATTTTAACAGTTACACTAGTGTTGGAATTTATTTAATAGTCTTTTTACATCAAGAAATAAACCAACAGTGGCAATAAGAATGACCACACAAACACACGTTGACATTATTTTCTTTAACTTCTGGCCTCTGTTTGAGTCTTTATCAGTGCAAATCTTCAGGTGTTGAACAAGATGCTCTTCTTTCTCTCCCTCCAGTCCAGAGTTTCCTGCGGTGTACCAGTCTGACGAGGAGCAGGAGAGGCTGATGGGTTTGTACCAGGACCTTCACAGCTGCTTGCACCATCCAACCAGACCTCTCCGTTCCTTCTACCGCTGTGGTGAAACTGAAAACCTGCTGGCGTGGGTAAGCGTTATGAGATGTGATGCTTTTGTAGTCTTTTAAAGTGTTTTACAATTTCTCATTTTTCATAATAGAATCTCAGTTTTTTCAAAACTCGTTAACACAAACTGCCATGTACCTAATTTTCTTTCAAATCTCGCATGGCACATGACACGAGATCAGGAAGTACGATGTTTATCAGAGCATCTCACCATCTTCATCACTGAATTTTTAATCATTGATACACGTTGAAATAAAATGGCCATAATCAATAAAAGCTGTCAAAACGAAATCACTTCTCATCCAAACTGTGTACAGTCGTCAGGTTGTTAATATTATGCAAACAGCAGTAGGATATATATTTTATTATAATTATGATATATATTTTATGCAGAAATCAGCAATTGAAATGATGTAGAATAAGAATTATGTTTTTTTTATAATGAAATCCTTCAATCATGTGAACAGATGAAAGTGATTGTGACTGTACTTTACTGTATAAAGTTTCTTTTTATTCAAGACTTCAGACATTAGATATTTCAACCTCTTGTTTGTTTATTAATCTAAAATCTTGTAAAGCAATCCTGTTATGCAGGAGAGCGTAAAATATGAAACCACACCCACCTCAGTATTGTGCAGCATTTTGACTATAATCAAGAGGAAGGAAACTGCATTTCCCCCTTTTTTTCATCCCTTGTTCTTCAGCAGTGATGGTGAAAGGATTTCCATTCATGTTGCAATATTACACACGAGGTTAATGTTGTTATAGTAAGGAGAAATATTTACAAAACATGCTGCATTGATTCAGTGAATGTCGGTTAACACTTAGTGTTAAGCATTGAAACTTAAGAGGTGGCCGTTTTCTGAGGACAAAACGTGTGACATTGAGTGATTTGCATGTAAAGATAACATTTTGTGTTTTAAAGGTAAGCTTGAAGCAGTTTGGCACTTTTGCACATTGAAACTGAGCCAAAGCAAAATACTGCAGTATGACTTTGAAGTGCCTCATGATGCCACTCGTCTCGCTCTCCCTTCTCTCCTGCAGGTGACAAGCGGCTTCGAGCTCTACCTCTGCTTCAGTCCACTGGCGACCAAGGCCTTGGCGGTCTCTGCTGTCAACAAACTGCTGAAGTGGATCAGGAAGGAGGAGGATCGTCTCTTCATCCTGAGTCCTCTCACATACTGAGCCCTCGCTGCTGGCTGACCGGCCTCCTGGAACAAAAAGAGTTATCCCTGAACTGAACGCCGCCTGGCCCGGTGCTGTACCAGCTTCTGTGGATGAAGCAGTCGTCAGTTCAGTGTCCACATACTGTATGATTGTCAAAGCTATGCATTTCTTGCTAATGGGTTCCTCTGATCTAATTCACAGATTTGTGATGAAGTAGATTGTGCAATGACGTTAAATTAAAGCTGTATTTTAGCTGGCTAGATTTAAAAAAAAAAAAAAAAAAAAATGATTTGGATAACAGCAACAGATGGAAGCAGCATCAGCACCAATACACAAACATAACACAAACACTTGGTGTCTGTTTGCTGCTGAGGTTGTTTCATAAATAATTGTTTTACTGTATTTACCTATTATGCCTCTCAGATTAAGAAAAATGCTGTCTTTTTTTTTATGCTATCAACTCTTTAAAAAACTCTTAACAATCAAGAATAAAATTTTAATTTAAAACTGGAAACTTGCAGAACAATGTATTATTATAAGACTTATGTCAAAACATGGCTAACACTCCTGTTGTGTTTTCACTTTACATGATGACCAAGAACTGCACAAACCATCGTCATTTTACCTCTATGCACTTTCTTTATGCAAACGGCACTCTAAGAAATGTGATCATGAGTCTATATAACATGTTTACTGCTGTCAATTTTTGTGTCAACATGTATTGTTCATGTCAGTATCATGGAAGTCTATTCATGTACTAGTGTCTATTAGCATTTTCCTTAGATATTCCATTTACCATAATATGCAAACTAATACCAAGGAAAGTGTTGTATCATTTGTTTTTTATACCTGTGTATAGTCGTAAAGGTTCATTATGTCTCATGGGCTTTGCTTAAGGAATCTAATGTTGCCACATCTGCCTCCACGAATCATGCCTTAACTAATGATCATTGTGCAACTCAAAAATGATTATATATAAATAAATGATTAGTAATAAAAAAGACTCTGTATCATGCTTGATTCTAACATTAGTCAGAGTCAGTATTTATTATTGACTTTTATCCCCTACAGAAATGTAATATATGACATAAATCCCTATATCAAAAGTGATGGTGCCATATATGTCACCTATAAGGGGTTATATATTATTATCACATATACATCCTCTGGATTTATTAAGATATAAGTTTAGAATATATATGAAATACCCATAGTAAAATATTGTTGCAATTATAATAATGGTATATGTGTATATATATATATATATATATATATAAAATATATTTATGATGACTTATGGTATAACATGTTGTGACCATATATATATACTGTATATAATATCAACATATACTGACAGGGTGGAGATATATTTACATAATATATATCTATAAGCATAATACATAAAAATACATATTTGTGTGGGCTAAACATATGTCAATATAAAGAAATTGTTCCAAGTTCTAATAGTTTCATATATAATTTTTACATACAGTACATGTTTTTTTTTATTTTATATGTACATAGATGTCATATATGGAAATTCAATAAACGGGATTGCTGTCTGATTTAAAATATTTTGGTTGTAACTGTAAAATCTATTTAAAGGTTGTTTCTTTTCAGTGTAATTCATGAGTAGCCTACCATCATATTTGTGGAGACACCAGTAGCTTCACATGCGGGTCTGTTGCCTAAACAATTCGTTCACTGTACACTCGCATGATAAAAATAGTGCAAACACTACCTGGAACACTACCTATTGTACAGAAGGTAAGTTTCAATTGTCTGCCAAAAATGAAAACAACGCGCAATGTAGACATTAATCAGCTGTAAATTCACATAGTTCCTGCAACAGTTTTTGGCAACGCGCGTCACCATGAAAGGTGCGTAAACAAACACAATGTGGGTTAATTGGTTTTACCGCTGTCTCCGTCAGCCTGAAGCGGTGAGGGGAGGAGCGAGCTGTGGCACCGCCGAGGCAGAGGACACCGGTTTACACTGGGAGCTGAAGTTAGATCCGAAACCGACACAGTTCAGGCTTTAACTTGAAGCAGAAATTAACCTAATCGTGTCACCTGGAATCTCTCCGAGGACAGATCAGCCATCCCTGCTCTGCTCTGGAGTCAGATACGGAGCAGAGGTGGCAGTGGTTTCTTCCCCGAGGAGCACAGCTGTACAGGTAAGACCTTCATAACATTCACAGCTGCATGTGCCACGGATATGTTTCAAAAGATTACAGCTGAACTAGACTCCTTGCAGTGCTGAACCTTTCAGGAGCTCAACACAAAATCACACAATGCTACTGTATCGGGAAATTAAAATGTCATAAAGTGCAGTTAATTAAGTTTAATGTGTTGTTATGTACTATTGATAGAATTTAAATCAATCTCAGTGTTTTTAGTAAGAGGTTTAATTATAATATATGGTGATGAAACTGTGGTTAACTATGAGTGGTATATGTTTGATGATTTGTGAGAAAGGTGTGTTAATATAAGGACTTAATCTAACCATTCAAGTTTTGTGCAGTTGGTGGAGTCAGATAACATCTTACATGTGGACTGGAACCAGTGTGTGCTGGCACCGTTCCCCTGAAGTTAAAGCAGACTGCCAGAATATGTAACAGGAGCATAAATCTATATATATGATTTAAAGAAATGTACGGCCACACAACACAAATGATTTAGGTCTTGAACGATGTTCAACCACTTGGATTAATCTCAGAAGAATAAAGTCAGATATCACAATTAAGGTGTTTCATAATAAAGCACATTTAGACCTAATATCACTGCACATTGGAGGGTTCTAGTGGTTCTGTAGTGGTTTGGGATGCATTTCCTGCCACTGAATCAATGCATGTGTCCCTGGGGTCCAATATGTTTTCCTTATTGACTGTTTGCACAGCATCCTGCATATTTAAATCCCTCTGGATAACTGTGCACTAATTAATGAAAGAGGGGCTCTCTCTCTTTCGCTAATTAACTGCTGTCAAAGTGCCTGTGAGCAAGCACTGATCCAATAAAGCAGCCAGTCCAAAGTGTGCATCCCTCTCACAAAATGAGAAAGGTGAATTCTTATTGATGCCAAGATAAAATACACAAGCCAGAAAAGAGAAGATAATATGGATATGAGTGTAAATGCAACACACTGATTGTGAATTCTGTAGGATATTATGTTGCCAAACGTCTGGTTTGATATTTGTCCTGATAACAGAACCGAGGAGGCAGGTGTTCTAGTATCACTGCACCTTCAAGTCATCTCTGAGGGAATACACTAAGTAAAAACCTGGACGCTGACCAGCCTGTAAATAGCACAATAGCACAATGAATGGAAACTCAATTTCAGCCATTTGGTTTATTAACCATGAACATGAACAAAGTCAATCAGTGCCATTACTATGTGTACCCATGTCCTTTAGCCTTAACCTCAGCTTCACGTGGAGCCGCAAATGTTAAAATGTAACACAACATCTATGAATTATTGATGTAAAGACACCAGACTCTTGACTTCAAACGTTTCCATATGACAGAGCGATGATAAGTTCTGTTTTCTTGAAAGACTTTTGGTCAGAAAGAAACTTTCCCTGCTGTTGAATCAAATAAGCAGAGCCACATCACAGTTGATGAAATTCAGATGAGAATTTTCTTCTTCACCTGAGACTTAAAAAGGTTCACGTCGTCTTATGACCATCAGTCCGTGCACATCTTTCCCCCTGAAAGGCACGTAGTGGTTGTGACAGGAATGCAAAGTAGAGAGGCCAGGGGTTCCTGAATATAGCCTAACTGGGATGTGTCCAGTTAATGATCCACCAAACACACGTCTGTTCTGGGTGAGGACAAGGCTCCGAGTTTGAAACGTGGTTCCATGTTGTTCAGAGATTGATCAGGATGAGCTGTGGAAAAATTTTTATTTTTATTTGATTAATTTGTGTTGAACCACAGCCATTAACTTTGTTTGTTATTATTAGTTCTCTTGCACAAAAGAAGATGACTCAATATTTAGAGGAAAGAAGATGGGATGGGAGATTAACCAGAACAAACATTACCAGACAGATATGAATGACTTGAGCAGGAAGTTGCAATAAGAATAGTTTTATCCACTGTCTACTGTGTTGAGCGCCACGAGCATAGAACCCTATTTGATTATGTAAACACTTCCTCTCTGTGTTTGTAGTGAGTCAGAGGAAGCTTTTATCTTTACAACCACTTACTTTTATCATCATGTGACGCAACCAAGATGATGTCTGTCACTTCAGATCTATTAGGATTCAAAACGGAACGTGACTAAGCAGACTGATATTTTTAATTTTCTTAGGTAGCATCATTTCCATAAAACAATATGCTTTCTGTTAAGAGCCACTGTCGAGAATTTTTCGAGGCATTTAAAAAAAGTCCCTCAACTCTAGCCTTTTCCAGAGTTTTCAGCTGCATCTCACAGTCATGGCTGGATTAACGTCACAAGGGGCCCTGGGGAAAAATCTGCTGTTGGGCCCCTACTGGCCCCCGCTGTACATGACAGTTTCGAAATCAACCAGTACTGTCTAGTGATGAAATTATAATTTTTTTTCATTATTAATTATTATTTTTTTAAGCAACTATGCCAATAATTCACCGGTGCCAGCTTCTTGAATGGACATTTTTGCTTGTTTCCTATGTTTTTCTATGATAATAAACTCAACATTTTGGATTTTTGACTCTTAGTCAGATAAAAAAGACCATTTAAATATGCTTGATCTTCTGGGAATAATGATGGGCTTTTTTATTGAAATTTTATACACTGAAAATCAATCAGTTATTAAATAATTTGACAAAATTGCTTTCAAGTTTCAAAGTGAACTTTGGAATGATGATAATTTCTTAATGACTGAATAACTTACTATATTCTGTCATTTCCCTTCATTCAGGTATCATTGGCTGTTGTTAAAGATGGTTTGGTCCTGACATCAAACCTGGAGGTAACCCCACGTTGTCTGTGTTGTTGCCCCCCCTTGCAACCTTGTGGAGATGGTCCACTGGACCACACAGTGGGGGACATGTGTCTGGTTCCAGACTCTGCTGGCCTTTGCTTTGGCCAACTGTCCCTCACTGGCCCCGAGTCCTGTCAACTACTCTGTGGTTTACACCATGCCCTTCTTCCAGGCCCAGGGCCCCATCCAGAACATTGTGAACAACTCGTACTACCAGGAAGTGTATGTAGCCTCTCAGAATGTGATTGAAGCTGTGAACAGAAGCCTGGAGAAGGTGTGGGAGCTCCGCACTGGGCCGGTGGGAAGCCCAGAGTGTCAGATATGTAATTTGTG